AAAAAAAAAAAAAAAAAAAAAAAAAAAAAAAAAAAAGGAAAGAAACAGGGTTGGGAAGAACAAGACTGTAACAGAAGTTGTCCATAAAAAATCCAACTGGAACAAAAATTTTCTGTTGCAGATCGCTTCACAACAGATGTTTCTTTCATAATCATGCAATCGGGAGGAAAACAGAGGAGAAGGAAGTGATTGCATCCTCCCAAGTGCTGTGAGTTTTGTAGCATTCAGAGTCACATTTTTCGTTTTGAAAGAATTGAAAATGTGTCAAGCTGCTCTAGCTATTAATCCACACATCCAGCCTGAACTGGGATTGAAGTGATAAGCAGTTTGATACCAAGTCTGTACTGATTATTTGGCAATAGTTTAATGATTATCTTGGATGTGATTAATGAAAAATACTATTAATAATAATCATGGTTGCACCACACCCTGAGCTGCTTTCCACCCTGTCCTGCGAAGCCGCTCTGTGTGGCAGCCAAGGTCTTATCCGGGCCCTGCAGGCAGCATGACCCAGGCAGGGATTGCTGAGGGCCTCAGGAAGAGCAGGAGCCTCTCCTCTTCCAGCAAAACTTTGATTTTTCCTGTCTATTGTTTCCTTTCTGTGCGTGGCAGTGAGATGCAGCCCTCCTGCAACCCGCCCAGCAATCTATCCTTGCTGAGCAGGCTCTTTTGCAAACCTGGCTGAAGAGGAAGATGAGATGATGTGACACCCAAAATCTGCTGGTTTGGGTTGGCCAAGCAGCAAAATCCCATGAGCAGGTGCAGGTCAATAACAACAAAGACCCTGGTGGCAATGTCAGCTGAGGAGCAGCTGCACTGCACTTCTGCTCCTCTGCAGCTTCATCTGGGATGTTTTGAAACACTTATTGGTGATTATCCCAAACTATTTAATTAATTTTAACTAATTTAAAAGGTCTCCTGCTCTGCAAAGTAATTTCCAGTGTCCCAGTTTGATCCAGAGCATGGAACTGGCACCATATTTTGCTTCAAGTGAACCAGCCAGCAATGAGATGGGGAGAGGGAGGCTGCAAGGCTCTGCTGACATGAAACCCATCCCTGGGGGCAGCTGGCATTGACCAGGGAAGGTGGGCAATAGACTGGGGTGGAAAGAGGCAGTGAGGAACAGCTGGATTGCATTAATGGATTGGGTGGAAACTGGGAGGTGGGTTAAGTAAAAGGTGTATTTCATCCCATGAATACTTGGGAAAAATCAGCTTGTGTTCTCCTGATCTCCTCCAGGACAGCAGCAAGGGAGGGCAGGCCCTCTCCCACCTCGATGAGCAGCTGGAGATCACAGCCACACCCACCCAAACCTGCAGGGACTGGGTGGTTTTGGGACCCAGGAGCTCCACTGCCCACATGGTTATGACCAGAAGTGGGGCTGTACTTCCAGGTGTGTTTCCACACCCCTCATGGCATGTGGGGAAAAGAGGGATCAGGGGCTAGATAAAAAACTTTCACCTCTGTTGGTAGAAACCACTCCAAAAGCTTTTCTGCAACTGGTCTGACTTCAATAGGGCAGTGCATTCATATTGATCCTTTTTAGAAATTTTCAGAAATTATGACTTTTAGAACACTAACAAGACTTTTCTGTTAGGGTGATGTTCTCACATGGTAAACGGTGTTGCATAGGAGTCTCTCTTGTTACAAATTTTGTGAAGGTCCCACCGGGTTGTTAGGACCAGCCCTTGGTTCCAGCAGACACCATGGTGATCCATGACCTGAAAATCCCACATCCTGGCACAAGGAGGACATCTACAAGGCTCCTGCAGACCTGGCTGTTCACCACCTGGCCACAACAGCTCTGTACCGTGTCACCAGAAGGAAAGGAAAACAAATACAAAGGAAAGCAAATACAGGTTTGACATTACCTGCTGAATGACCTCAGTAAAAGAGAGGCCACTTTCAGGAGTGCAGCTGTGGGGGTCCCAGTTGTCAGTTTCTCTGGGTTTGGATTGAAGGCACTTGAGATGGTAGCTCATGTTCGGAGTCAGTGTTTATTATTTCTTATCAGTAAAACAGTCTCACTACTGTGAGTTCGGCAGCTTTTCATTAAAAGGCACAAAATGGCAAACAATCTCTTGTTACAAGGTCTTTTAAGACTAAACTATCCAATTAAGAGCTGACACCTAGATTATTTCCCCTTTTAACCCAATAACTGATCCCAAAGAGCCACAGTGTGGACTTTTCCACCCAATTACAAAACGCCACCCAAACCCATGAAGAAGGAGGAAGAAGAAACATGAAGAAGAAACCCAGGACAACACCCTGTGCCCTCCATCTTGCTTCCATCCACAACATACTAAAAAATCCCAAATCCTAAATTTCTCACCAAGTGATACACCTACACTATTCTCTATAATGTATTTCACACTTTAGTGGATACTAGTCTATCTTGAAGTCTAGGAACTTTCTCCATGAATGAGGGTCAAAGTCAGAGCCCCCCTGGGGGTCAGGGCACCCCAGAGCAGACAGAGAAATATTCCCTGTGCCCTGGAATGCAGCCCCTCTCACAGCACTCACCAAGCTGTGCTTTCTCACCTGCCTCTCTGGCTGGTTCAGATATGCATCTACTCATTTTTAAGCTTTGGTTTTGTAGTGCTGTGAGCATCGATGAGTGTTTCCTACACACATCATCTGTGATCAGGGAGTGCCCAGCCTGAGCAGAAATGTTTGAGGGAAAGGAGGGAGCTCCGACCCTGGGGGTAAATGCAAATGCCAGCAGCAAGCTTGAGGTGGTCATGATGGACCTGCTCCCATTCTTTGAATAAAATGTTGCTTTTATAAATATAAATATAATAATAAAAAGTTGCTTTTATAACACTTCAGGGTAATGCAGGTGTGATACACTGTACAAAAGCACGCTTACACATGCTGTTCCTAGGGAGGCATAAAAATTGCTTTACATGTTCCTGAACTACACAAAAGTGCAACACAGATACCGAGGCATCATTAATAGCACAGAAGGCCTGCTGCCCATGTATTGGGTTCTGTGCCAGACCCTGGGGTTTGCCATGAGAAGGGCTCAATTACCACCCCCAGAGGCTGAAGCCCTCCCTTTTCTGTGGGGCAGCAGAGGCTGGGGCATCAGGAGGTGGAAGCCTTGGTGTGTCTGCTCTTAAAATTACAGCAGAGGATAGAAGACAGAAGGAAGGCAACTGAATTAGTAAAGAAACTGAAGGATATGTGGCTTATATATTACGTAATGAAGATAAAGACAGATTGCTGGTGTGTAATTTTGGTACCATCCAGGGAAGAGCTGGGCAGGGAGCAATGTGGGCATGGCCAAATTTGCAGAGCTACTGGCAGGAAACAGTGGGCAGGGCTGATTCCTGCAGAGGGGAGAGGAACAATGTACCAGCAATAGAAAAGGCCAGGGATAAACTTCGGGAAGTGGGACACAGCTAATATTTGTTTAGCTCTGGTTCTGTCTCTTTCCACCAACGTGTTTCAAAGAGCTTTACACTGGAGTGTTAGGCCAGATGTGATGATGGCTCAGTGCGGAGTTGTGCTGAATGCACTTGCTGGTGTATTTGCACTGCCATCCCCTCTGCTTTGCAGCTTCTGCAGGGTCCATTATATCCTCCTTTCTTCTCAGCAGGGCTCGTTATCCTCCTCTGTCAGTGCTGTACCCTCTAGACAAACCCCAAATGTAACCATCTCCATTTTGTGCATAGGATGCACCAGGAGGTGAAGCAACCACTCACGAGGGTGTGGAGCCACAGAGGGACACTGGATCTCCCAAGTGCCACAACTAAGGAGTTTCTGAGCTTTAAATAGTTGCCTTGCACTGTTAGGATCACCCAGCAGCCCCTTCAGAGAGTGAGGGGTAATCACAGAGCCCAAAATACATCCCTGTGGCTCTCACATCCCTTAGTGCCATCAGATTAAATACCAGAGGGGATAATAAAGGATGGCTACAGTGCGCCTCTTCTTCCATTAAAAATGTGCTGGGAAATGGCCTCGCCACTTGGTGTGAGTAGTCCTGCTGTGGGGATAAGAAGTCTCCAAAGCCTCAGTCTGCTCCTCACTGCTCCCATGGTGAAATATAGCCCAGGAGAGTCTCCCTGTCACTGAAAACACAACAGCTGGGGACAGAGAGAACCCAGGCCCAGTGCCACCACAGCAACATGTGCTGCCTGCAGCCAGAGTACCACTTGCTCCTTCAAGATGTGCTTTCCTGGCCCTGAACAGCCACCTGCCAGATCTCCTGGCATAGTCCCTAGCAGCCAGGCCAGGATAGGTAGCCACCAGTTTCCATAACTTCCAAGTCTTTGTCCTAACAAGAACAACTTCTGGTGTGATCACAGTAATCTCTAAGTCTATTTGAAATCTCTGACATTCTCCGGAGTTCATCCCCATCCCTTTCTCTAGCTTCTCTCCATACCAGGACCATCAAGAAAAGACATTCCAAAGCACACAAGTCTTGCTGAAAACCTCACTTTCCAAGAGGGACGTAGAGGTCAGGCTGCTCTATCAGCTGGGAGTTTTGGGAATGCTGCAGGCTATTCTGCTTTCTGTGGTGCAATCACTGCTAAACAATGCTGTTTTGAAGAAACAGAACAGCGATGATTCCACCTGACAGCCTTTCCAGTGCTTTTATGAGAAGGGCAAGGAAGCATCCAAGAAGTCATGTCATGCACCATCACAAACCTCCAGGAATAAAGCAACACCAAAGGTCTGGTTTCTGGTAAAATGTGCATTTCTGCCATGCTACTACTCCTCCCAAATCAGTTTTTTTACTAAGTGTCCCACGTGTGCCCTTTTCTCCAGCGACAGGATATCCTTCATTTGTCTGCACCAAGAGCAGATGAGCACTTCTTCGTGTTGTTTTCCAAGTCGGCTGATGGGAGGGTCAGCAGGGGCCAAAGCAGCTGCAACAAGGAAAGGAAAGATAACCATGGCAACCCAAGTTATCTGCATCCTCCATGTATTTCCTTCTCCCCACCCTACAGCATATCTTTCCCACCCAAACCTCAGGCTGATAGAGCCAGTGACCAGCTGGCAGGATGGGGACTGCAGCAGTGTCTCCTGCACCCAGAGTGTCTTGCTGTGTTTTGGGGCTCACCACTGCAGGCTGAAGTCATCAAAAAGAGACTGAAATCCTAGAGAGGGACAACTTGCAAAAAGCAGAGCTCTCCACTACTGTAGATGGGGCGCTGGATATGCTGCCTTTGCTCCAGAGCTGCAGACCCATTGATGCTGCTCCTGGTTTTGGCTCTGGGCTGTGACCCTTCCACAGCAGCAGCAGCTTCTCCGCCTGTGCCCCACGTCAAACCCAACTACAGTTTTGGCCGGACTTTCCTGGGACTTGATAAATGCAACGCCTGCATTGGGACATCCATATGCAAGAAGTTCTTTAAAGAGGAGATAAGGTCAGAAACTCAGCACAGTAATTTTTAAAGTGTTCTGTATGGTAATTTGAAAGTTGCCTGTTAGAATTAGTATTTTCATGAACAGCAATGCAAAGAGCAACTTAGCACCCAGTTGCCATTACATCTCTGAGTGTTTTAATTAATGCCTGTGAGCTGATGTGTATTTTCTTTTAAAGCAACGCAAACATGATCAGACTTCAGCCCTAAACTATAACTTGAAAGCAGGAGTAAAAGGCACAAATTTCTGTCTAGAGAACAGCTCTGAAAAAGTTCAAGGCAGCAATGGGGGAAGGGAAGAGGGAGGAAGAAATCAGCTTGTTTAGATTTACTGGAAATATTTTATTATGAGCAACTGACTAAAGGGAAAAGGGGGTTTAGGCACCCAAAAGAATATGTTAACTACAAACATACAAACATGCTGCATAATTTTGTACCAGGTGCAACAACGTGAATGTGCAGAATTTCACGTTTAAACTAAGATCAAAAGGGATCTAAACCTGCCTGAGGCATGAGGACTTCTGCACATGAGGTTACCCACACGCTTGAAAATAGCACGCAGCTAAATTACTGGTACATTTTGGGGAAATTTGTTTGAGAACTTGAAGGCAGAAATTACATCTGCCTCACTGTTGATGAGGCACACACTGTCCAAGTGGTCATTGGACCAATCCAATCATTTTTAGGCTCAAAAGCAGAGAGTATCTGATGACAGCAGGGAAAATGTTGCCACTTGTATTTGAGCAAAAAGTTAAAGGCAGTGCTTGGCAGAGGAAGGGTTTATTGGGTCTGATATGATTTATAGAGCCGTATGCACGTTCTTTTATAGATATAAAAGCCTGGGGGAGAAGAAATTATTATAGTAAAATTGTATTTTTAATGCTATAATGTAAGTAGTATAGTATTAGACAAATCACCATTTTTATCTTAAACTATCCTATAAAACGCAGCATTGTAAAACCATAATAGTTTGTCTGGGATGGACTTGTAATACCAGACATCCATCCTTTCCTGCTGGGAAAAGGCAGCTTGTGGCTTTGCTGAGCCAGAGCACTCCTTGCTGCTGGACATTGGGGGTCCCAGTCCTTGTCACTTTGCCCTTTGGCTTTCCACATCCGCAGTGCCAGAGCGAGCAGTGAGTGAGGTGCACAGGGCTGAGTGCCGGCTTTCTCCCAGCCCAGCCTGGATTCCTGTCCCAAAAGGCATCATGGATTTGCAATCATGCTCAGCTGGCTGACGGGCTGGTGTGGGTCTGTAGGGGTCAGGGGTGCATCCAAGGTAGGGTCTGCTCTGCATTTTATTCCCTGCAGCAGGATGGAACCACAGCTGGCTCCTACCCCAACCTGCTGCAGCCCCTTCAGCGCTCACCTGTGCAGGGCTTTTAGGGAACTGCTGCCAGGTACAAAGCAGCTCCCTTTTGGCTACTCCCACCTGGCCACTGGGGATGCTGGGGCCATGCAGGTTCCCTCAGCCCTGCCAAAAATAGCAGAAGTGCCTCTGGCTGTGGGGTTCCAGCTGCACAGCGCACTGAGGGAGGGAGGTGCTACGTGAGCCAAGGCAGGAGGAGCTGTGCTGGCTTTCCTCCAGGGGACAGCGGGAACAGAGGTGCAGAGGGTCCCACTGGGCTCCGGAGTGCAGAGCCACAAACATGTGGGAGCACAGTACTTCTGCCTCAGGGGACACAGAGGGGCTCCCTAAGCCAGACACTTCTTTTTCTCTCCCACCAGCCTGCAGTTGGCTTCCCACACATAAGTGATAACGAGAAGTTCTGCTGTGAGCGCTTCGGGAAGGGGAACTTAAAAATGTTCTCCTGAGCAGTCACTCAGCTTCAGGCTTTCCTTTGCATGGGTAAAACTTTTTCTCCCACTTGATTTCTTGAAAAACTGGGCTTATTTTTTGGCAAGTGGGAGCTGAAACTAGGGAAACTTCAGTGGTGCTTACACTCTTTGATCCACCCTCGTACCTTTTCACGTGTTCGCAAAGGTGGATGGCACTTGGGCTTCTCTGTGTTAATTCACATTAGAACATGCTTCATTAATTCTCCATCATTTCTGGGAGCTCTGACATGTGTTCACAGTGAGAAGATGTGAGTTTTGTTCCCAGAACGGCTGGTGACTCATCTTGTGCTCTAATGTTCTATACTTCCCTTATCTTTGCCCAACTTTATCCATCTGTAAATGAGGATAGCAAGCCTGTCTACCAACTGTACTGAGAGCAGAGTGCAGTGGAAGTTTTTGTAAAATATTAGATTTTCGAAATACCGCAGAACTGAGCCGACCAAAACTATTCAAAGACTTGTGGCAATGATGGTCCTGAGTTTTGTCCAAAAATAATGTGAAAGAAGACTGAAAAAGTTGGAATGCCTCAATTAGAAGGGGGTTTATAGGTTATTTCTTTTTGTTTTGTTTTAAGACTTTGTTTTAGCTTACTTATTTTTAAAAAAAAAAAATCTGAAATACCAAATGCAAGCAAAATTATTTTGGCTGAAACAAATACTTCATTTCATTCAGGAAAAAAATGAAGGAAAACTAGTTTGGATTTCTTCAGCATTTAGTTGTGGGTTGATCTAAAATCTGTAATCTGTGACTCACTTATTTGCATAGATCTTACTGAAGGTCTTAGAAGATTTGCTGGCCCTTAGCTAAAAATCTTTGTACGAGAGGGAGTGGTTACAGCACAACTTGATGATGAATCTTGAAAGTATCCAGCAAATGTGCCAGGCCAGCACTGTGCTGCCCAGAAATGATGCCAAATACAGACTTGCTGCAGCCCATGCTGGGTTCCCAGGCCAGGGTGTCTCTCCCCCCAGAGATCTGCAGAGGGAATCATTCCATACACCCTCAAATTAATGCTCAGCCCTGGATTTCACACATCCATGCTTGCATGGAGGATGTGACACTTTCCTGCTCTCTGCCTGACGTGAGCTGCCCTGAACACACAAGTCACAAGGCATATTTGTGCTGAAAGAAAGAGAAAAAGAGAGAAGAAAAAGAAAGAAAGAAAGAAAGAAAGAAAGAAAGAAAGAAAGAAAGAAAGAAAGAAAGAAAGAAAGAAAGAAAGAAAGAAAGAAAGAAAGAGCCAGCCCAAAGCCATCTTTTCCCAGTACGTGCCTGGCACTCTGTGCGCACTTTGCAGATTAGGCACTGGGAGGGGTCCTGATGCACAACAGTCACAGTGAGGCACAGCAATTATTCTCTTTCCTTTAATCCTAGCTCAAACCAGACCAAAACCAAAAAACCTAAACAAAACACCAACAAACCCACCAAAACAAAAAACCCAAACCCAAACAAAGTGTTTATTATCATGTCAGGTGCTTTAATGTAGGGAAGCTTCAATTTTGTGTCAGGCAAAATGCCCACAACAACTGAAATGCTGGAATCCACCAACCTGTTCACACAAGGTTCTCCCACTTCTATTCATCCTCCATGGTAAATTTTTGGAAGGAGGCACATGGCAAGAGTTGAAAGCCAAAGCAGGGGAAGCAGCAGAGTTTCACCCATCCTGGGCACCCATGCCTGCCCCAGAGCTCAGCTGCACAGGGTCTGTGGTGGGGAAAGGGAGTGGAGTGCTGCCTTCAGGAGGGATCATCTGATCACTTTCTGATAGCAGCTGGTGGCTCGTGTCACTGAGTCAGTTATTTGCCTGAAATCATAGAAAATTAATCCTCCCCAAATTTCTCTGGGTCAATTTCCCAAATGGAATTTGAAAGGAAAGACCAGCTTCAGCTTTCAGACTTGTTAATGTCTTGTAAGCTGTCTGAAACTCCAGCTAGGCTAATCCTGCAGGGAACTTCTTGCCTCTCCTGTTTCACTTCTGAGCCACCGGCTTTAATTTAGGGTGAGATTAAATTAGGACATGCTTTCCTACGCACTTGGACAAGGAGCTCAGGGCAGGAGGGTTCAGAGACAGCAAGGGCAATTTGTTGGCCAAACCAAAGGTCAGAGTTGGGCCATTTTTCCAAGAGCAGGTTACAGACACCCTCCCAGAGCAGGCACCGCGCTCCTCGGCTCCGGCGTGTGCGACGCGCGTGTGGGCAGGGCTGCTGAAACAAAAAAAAATTACCTAATTACCCAGCCCATATGCTCCCCTCCTGTGCCTGTGGAGGGGGAGCAAATTAGTGCAAGATCTCCATGGCTACAGAGGTGCTGCACGCCCAGGGCACACACACCCTTGTCCCTCCATCACCCTGTCCCCCCATCACACCCCAAAATCTGCTGCTCTCAGGGAGGTCGCTCATCCTGGCTGAAAAATAGTCAGGGATGTTGGGGGAGAAAATAGAGTCAGAGATATTGGGGGAGACAGGTAGACCCTGTCAAGATTCCTGACAAAAGACACCACCTCAAAACAAGAAGTCATTTTGGTATTCCCAAGTAGATTTGTTGTCAGGAGGTTTTAATATCAGGAGGGTCCTTTAAAGTGTCAAGTACTCCTTTTTTGTGACCCTTTCTCTAGAAACAGGAAAATTTTAAAAAAACAGGAATTCTTCATGAACCAAAACCCTGTAGCCCTCTCCCCTTCCTCCCTCCCTCTACCCAAAAGACCCCATTTGGGTGTTTTACCCTTCACTCCGTGGCAGCATGCATGACAGGGGATGGTATCAGTGGGAAGCAAAGAAGGACTTTTTACCAAAGCAATTTCCTTAGCTGGTGGTTTCAGCCTGCTCTCCCTGGGGCCACCCAGCCAGGGTGACTGGGCCTTTGCCAGGCCATGGCAGGCCCAGGCCATGGCAGGAAGCCCCAGGGCCGGCCTGGAGAAGAAGCTCAGCGGGGCGGGCGCTGTGTCCGTGTGGCTTTTAACCCGCTCTCCGTGGGGCTCTCGTTTTGGTTTGGCAGGTTTGACACCTGGCTTTCTTCTCATTTAAAGCTGCCCCCCAGCTCCCTGCTCAGCTACTCGGGCAACTACACGGACGATGCCAAGAGCTGGCGGCTGGTGGACATCACCCGGCTGACCTCCAAGTACCAGCACGACCGGGCGGACAAGCGCATCTGCACCTCCCTGCTCAGGACCAAGAGCTGCAGCCTGGAGCGCGCCCTGCGCCGCACCCAGCGCTTCCAGAAGTGGCTGCGGGCCAAGCGCCTCACGCCCGACCTGGTCCAGGTCTGTGCCCGGTGGTTCTGGTGCCCCACCACAGCTGGGGGACAGCAAGGCCGCTGGGGTTTAGGGGCTCGTGGGGATGTGGTTGTAACTCACTGGTTGGAGGGTGAGATTGGGTGGGGCTGGCACTCAGCCCGCTCAGCGACAATGGGGCAGACTTGTGTGCCCCCAGCCAAGCCCACCAAGTGCCAAAGGAGAGAGGCAAAATGATGCCCTGATGGGAAGAAGAGTGCCACAGTTGAAGGCCAGCTGTAGGTAATGCCATGGCACAGCCTGCCCAGGGCTGGGATGGGCTTGGCCCCAGTGAGGAGAGCACCAGCTCCTGGCTCCTTGTGCAGGTTGAAGCTGAAGTCCTGTGGAAAACCCTAGCACCAGGTGGCTTTGGGCACGGGGATAACAACAGGCTGTGCACACAAATGTGGTAACAGCTCCAGTGGGAAGATTAATGCCTTTTTTTTTTTTTTTTTCTAGTTTTCCATCATGTCTCAGCATTGTGGGATTTTGGGGTTTTTTTCATCATAAATTTGTACCCACAAGGGCAGCCAGTGCCTTGAAAGCGATTTTGCTTTGGGCCAGGGGCCAAATCAGTGTGGGTCTCTCTTGCTTGTGGCTGGCAGGACGAGGGGCATGGGCAGTCAGAGCCAAAGCCTCGATTACTCATTCTCCTGCCATCCATAGCAAATGACCTCAGGCACAAGGAAGCACACTGCCCTTTCTCCCACAGTCCTGGGGTGTCACAGGTGAAGCCAGGACAGGAGCACGGTGAGTGTGGGTCACACCACCAGGTAAATGGGCAGCTACAGCACAGGGCATGCCCCTCACCCCACCCAAACAACAGCAAAACATCACAATAACCCCTGGAAAGGGCAGGGGCCAGGGTGGGGGTTGGATATACACTGAACAAGACCTGAGAGACAAAGGATTATTCCAGTACTTCTTCCAATTCCAAGAGAGAAGTGACTGTGAAAAAGTGACTTCATTTATATTTCTATACAGGCAGCTGCTTGCTGCATCCACTCAGCTTTGGTGAGTGCTGAAACTATAGTTCTAAGTTCTAAGCTGCTGCTTCAGTTCTTCCTCTACTGTTACCCTGTGGAGCAGCACACCTTAGGAGAGAGAGGGAGGGAGGGATGCACTGGAGTTATGCCTGAACTGCCCCAAAAAGGACTCACTGACAGTCCAGCACAGCAGGTCACCCTGAAGTCAGTACCCTCCTGGGCAGCACATCCCTGACAGGGAAAAGATTTTTGGAGCAAAGCTACACTGTACTTTGTTTAGTAACCTCAAGAGAGGCACTAGGGAGAGGGGATGGTGTATCACTTCCACTCAGAGCATCCCTCACCTGAGCTTGTGGGCAGGGACAGCTCCTTAGGCTGGCAGGCACAACTGCCCAGGATGGCCACCACTGTTGCCCCAGCAGCACTGCAGGGGCCTGCAGGAGGGCAAGTTGGGCTGCCAGGTCCTCCAGCCTTGCTGGAGTGTCTCAGGTGTTTGTGCCAAACTGTGCTGTCCCCCCACTCCCCAGCAGTGCTGAGGGAAAGGGAAGGAATCGAGAGCTTGAAACTTGAATTTGCTGAGCTGGGTGAAAAAGTAACAGGAGAAATGTGGCTCTGTGGTATCTCAGACCTGCTGCAAAGCTAAATCATCAGCTGAGCCCAAATCCTTCTCCTTAAAAGGCTCTTCATGTGCTACAGTTTTGCCTACCCTGTCCTCCCGGAGTCAGAAATGCCAGCTGAGCTGGCAGGGCTGCACACACGGGCACACACACATATATGGATGCTCATGTGCACACACAGCGCCACCAGAGACCCTGGCTGGGGCACCCTGCCCTTGCACCTATCCAGTTTCTCCCAGGAATTTCCCTGGGCAGCACAGTGGGGAGCTGAGCTGATGCCAGCTCCAGGGCTCAGGGCCAGCCTGGGGGGACGTGCCCAGTGACAAACTCCCTGGGACATTTCATCAGCCCCTGCAGCTTTTTAGTTGGAAAGGGCATGGGAGGCTGCAGGGAGGCCCAGACCTTTGCACATCAGCCTCGGGATTGTTCTGCTCTTGTTTTCACAATCCTTTGGTTCTGTAAATCAATCAGAGAAACAAAAATTGGAATTTAAATCCCTTCTAACAGCATATAGATTTGAATACACAGAGAAACATAGTGATCCAGAGACTCTGGGACTTACTTCCTCGTCACCAAATTTCAGCAGCAATCACTTTTTAAGATCAGGCCTGTGCTCTGCAAAATGGCTTCTGGTCTCACAGTGGTCTTAATTGAAAAACAGTCAGTGGCAACAACATTTCAGTCATACTGTGTGTGTGAGTCTGTGTGTGAGACCCCCTCCCAGCCCTGATGTGTGGGGCACTACAGGTTACAGTCTGACCTCCCCAGCCCATCCAGCCCCACAGGGATGGGGATCCCCTTCCTCCCTGGCCATCCCACCTGCCCTCCTCCCTCTGGAAACCAGCTCTGCCTGCACCCAGCCCAGCACTGCTGCCCCTCTGCAGAGTTTGCTGTGCAGACATACATTGGTAACCCAGCAGGAGCCACTGGAGAGGGGTTTTTGGGGCTACCATATATCTCTGCAAATTCTTACCTAAAGAACTGCTCCTATGGCTCTGTTCTCCCACTCTCCCTCTTTTCAGAGGTGTTAACAGAACACCTCTCTCAAGGCCTGACAGGATGCCCAGCCTGTTTCACGGAGCTGCAGTCACACAGCAGTGCTTGTTCTCCCTTCCCTGCAGTTTATCCCGTATAGCAGCACTGGGGAAAGCTAATGGGCCCAGGTAATTTTGTCTGATAGACAAACCACAACGTGCTTGAATCAAAATGACAGACCATGAAGTGATGTTTTTCCACTTTACGCTGCCTGCCCTGCCTGACCCAGCCATCAGCTGAGCTGCCTGCCACAGCGATTATTTCACCAGCCACGCTGAAAATCTTTATTGGATGCAGCAAAGTCTTCAGTCTTAAAATCCAGCCTGCCTCAGAGATGAGCAGGATTTAGCTGGGGTTCAGCCTGCACAGCAGCCCCAGACACTTGCTGCTTCACCAGGAGCTCATCACCTCAAACCACTCTGGGTACTTTCCTGCTGGAAGGGCCACAAAGCAGGTTGGTTTCAGCACAGGTCACCCACAGGGAAAATTTACAGCCCTGCCTACAAAGCACAGCCTGGAAAATGCTGAAGGCAGATAGAGGAAAGCAGTACCAAGGTGAAAATCCAGCATTTGCAGACCCTCTCTCTGGGATGGACTGTTTGACACTACTGAACCAGCAACTATTGACCAGCTACTATTGACCAGCAACTGCTGACCAACAACTGCTGACCAGCAGCTGCTGACCAGCACCTCGTCCAGCCCACAGCAGGTGCACCAGCACCCCGGTTATGAGTCCAGTTCACATCTCTTCTTGCTGCACAGGGTCAGCAGCTCATTCACATGTCCAGTTGTCCATCCTAGGGACATCCAGAGTCACCTCCTAGACCTGCCACCTCTTTGACCCATCATCAGAGACTTCCATAAACCTGCTGGCAGTGGGGATGAGTTTGTCAGGGCATTCTTACCTTCTTTCTTTTGGCAGTTAAGGAAACCCTTGGATTCACATCGCCAGGATCTGTAGGTGCTTTGACTCCTACATCCAGGTGTTTCCTCCTAGAACCCATCCTAAACCTGGTAGTTTGGTGAAGCTCGACCCAGGCAGTGGTTCATGGGGCAGGAGGCAGCTGTGCTCCTGGTCTGGGCCATCCCTCCTTGGGCTGTCTGAAAAGAAAACAGAGCAAGAAGTTGTCTTCCACAAGTTGTCTTTACATCCAAGTGAATTCTGGGTGTGCCTGTGCTACATATGCATAAACTCATGGAGTTTAAAATGCATCCTGTACTGTGCAATAGGGTTTAAAAACTCACAGCTGAGTGGAGGTAGGCTTTGCAGGAACTACTCACTATCAGATATAGAAATGTGGGTATTTAATTGAAGTAAATAAGAAGCTTTCCACATCAATCACAAACAATACATCAGGCTGTCAGGTCTTATTCTCTAGGGTGATAAGTCACTGCAAAGGACTTAAGATATTCTCAGATAAATCTGTATCTCCAGTGTTTTCAGTATGTGTTCTTCACATTTTTCTTCCGCTGACAGTTTTTGTCTGACAGTTTTACAGCTCCAGCTCCTTTTCTGCTGTAGGGATGTTTCCATCAGCCTGCAGGAAGGTGAGACCCCTCTCCACTGAAACAATCAAGCAGGTGCTGAGCTTTATGCTGTTGACAGTCTCTGCTGAAATCAAAAGGTCCCATTGTCCAGTTTTTGTGGGTCAGGGCTTCATTAAACTGTAGGAAGGTGTCATCACCCAGCCCTGCTCCTCTGCTTCCACTCCTCCCTGGATGTGCCTGGAACAGTTCCTCAGGAACCATGAGCACTATGGGCAGCACGTGCTCACATTTGTGTTAAGAGGATGAGCTCTGACCTCAGAAAAACCCTAATTACACCATCCATGCCTTCTCTGCTGCTGTGATTTATATTCCCACTGTGTACTCTTCAGGGCCTCAGCTTTTGCATTGCAAACTCCTGGAAGCAGCAAGGCTTTCTAACTTTGGCTGCAAATATTTGCATACACACGGAGCTGCAAGAGACTTTCTCCACCATTTATCTCTTACTTAACACAGCTCTGCTCTGCTCATTTTGTATCACATCTCCTCCAAAAGGAAAGTGACAGAGTCAGCCACAACGTTCTCGCAAGAGAGAAATCCATAATCATCCCTCCTCCTGCATCTCTTCTATGGTTTTACACAATTAATTGAGAAAAAAATTTCCCCATGAGGCTACACCAGAGGAGTGTATGAAGACTTGCAACAGGAACTGAGTAGAATTATTTTTGGCAAATGTTTTTTTTCTTTTTGGGAAAAAAGGTTTTTTGGTTTTCGTGAAACAACACTTCATTTGTGGTTGAGTTTCTCAGGTAGTTTTGACCAGCTCTTGGCATTTTGGACTTGTTTTGTGCAACTGATGGCCAAGGTAGGAGTGGTTGGAATCTCACAGATTCCAACCAACAGGGATGCAGAGGAAGAGACGTGGGACATATAGCCTCCCCTTTCCTCCTCCAGCTGGGAAAGTGTCCTACTCATCCTTTCCACACTCCTTTATTTCTTTGTCACGGCTGGGTGGTTCAGTGTTTTGTGCCAGATGAACAGCTCGCACAGGAGGGGCTGAGAAGGACCCACCTCAGAGCTCCCACGTGGCCTGGGGAGATGCTGCGTCACATCTTCGCTCTCAGCATGGAGGATGGCAGGGAGCAACGTGAGCTCCACCTCCCTTTCCTCTGAAGCACATCTCCCAGCCATCAAATTATAAACAAAACTCAAAAGAGCAAATTTGGCTACTGGGATCATTTTTAATAAAGAGGCTTAAAAAACCTGATTCCCTTCCCCAGCAGAGGCATGTCAGGGCAGTGCTTCTGTGCCACTGTGGGCAGCTCTCCATATATAAACTTTCCTTGGCTATTAAGGAAGACTAACTGACAAATAAAAAAAGGTATAATTTTCTATGCCATTTTTCCCAGCCATAGATTGCTCATGAAATTTTACAAGCCAAACCTCCAAATCTGAAGGGTGAAATACAGTGATAATTGACTCCATTAGCACAATGGTTCTCTATTTGTTGCTGGTATTTACAAAAAATAAACACAGGCTATTTGGTTTTGATAGTTAATGCATGAGTTTATCAGAAGGAGAGCATATCCTGTGCTTATACTCACACATAATGTTTATTTACATTTTTAAAGCATGTTTACTGACCTTAGCAAATAGTATTTCCAAGAAAGCTGCTCTCAGGTTAAGCAAATAACAAAGTGATCCGAAGATTATTTAATGAGGGAAGTGACTCACTGTGGTAACAACTGGAGGGCCTCCACCAGGAATGCCAGGGCTGGAAGTCCAGGCAGAGGGAAGAGTCCCATGGTGTGGAGAGATATAGTGCTGTGCAGTTGGGGGAATATGAGGTTTGCAGTGCCCAGGAATGAGGGCCATTCTTGAAACCTGAGTTGGGAAATGGCATTTTTGGATGGCACAGGTCCTCTCCTAGGACGGGTGAGATGCCCCGTGTGCCCACGTCCTTCGGAGCTGTGCCACAGCAAGGGGGGCACAGTGGGCAGAGCACGGAGCTGTGTGTCTACCCCCAGCATGACCCAAGCACGTTGCAATGTCTGGCTGGAATTAGACATCCCTGCTGGGTTTTCCCCTCTCACAGGGCCTGCCCAGCCCCATGCTGCGCTGCCCATCCCAGCGCCTCCTGGACAGGATCGTGCGGCGCTACGCCGAGGTGCCGGACGCCGGCAGCATCTACATGGATCACCTCACAGACCGGGACAAGCTGCGCCTGCTGTACACCCTGGCAGTGAACTCACACCCCATCCTCCTACAGGTACGTGCCAGCCTGCCCCAGCTTGAAACACCACCCCACAGCCTCTCACGAGCAAACCTCACATGAGATGTGTGCCAGCCTCAGGGGCAGAGGAGTCCCAGCCCTGGAATTTGTCAGGTCCTGGCCTTTGTCAGCTCCCTGGCCTTCAAAAAAGCATGTTTCTTCTATGGGGTTGGGGGGCTGAAGCCAGGCAGGCTCATGAAGTGCTTCCTGAATCAGTCTGTGAGGCTGGGGAGAGATAGGGAACCCCAGTGTGTTGTTGCACTAGAGCGCTGTGAAACCCAGGGTTTTACACATCCCCAGCACTTCAAAGTGTTAGGTTTGCACTGCTAATGCTAATTACATAAAATCACAGCCTGTTCCTGGAAGAGAAGGAGCATGACTTCCCATGCTCCACGTGCCAGTGCTGTGTTTTCCATTCGCCTGCTGCTGGTAACTGGCTCTGGGTTTCAAAACTCTGGGTTTGAAGGCAGTGATCTGGGAGGCCTCACACCCTTCCTCTGGACCCCTTCTGACCTGCCTGGCACACAGCTCCTCTCTTTCCTTATGCTTCCAAGGGAGATTCCTCACCTTTCCCCATGCCATCTTTAGTCTTCACTGCTGGTTCTTGCAACCGTTCATGATTCCACGAAAGAAAGATGAGTGGCAGCATCATCCATCTCTGGCCCAAGGCCACTCTGCACTCAGCAGCTCACAGGGCTCTGCGTGGTCCCAGGGAGGGGGAATGCTGCTGGGAGGTTCCTGGGGGTCATTCAGCCACCCCAGTAATGGGTCACTGGGACATTAATCTGTGGCCCTTAGCACTCTGAAGACACAGGAACACAACTTGAAGAGATGAGAAAAATATGCCAAAGAGAAAAAGCTAGATTTTTACACAGTTGCCCAGAATGCCTTTGCAGAAGAAGGGAGAAGTAACCTTAAACATGAAACTGGATGAGTTCATAATGGCCTGGCAGAGTCTGAGGTGCTGGGGTCTGAGGTGCTGGGGACACAGATGAGCTTTAATGCAAATGACAGGAAGCTTTGTGCTGGCATAGCTCAGCAGTCACACAGTTTGGCACGAGCTGCAGGGATGCAGGGAGCCCAGCCCAGGTGTCTCCACTGGAGCAAACACCCACCACTTCTGCCCCTGAGACTGCAAAGTCTCTTACAAATGAGCCTGGCAGTTCTTACCAATTAGCAAAAACTGCTTTAGCCTTACCTCAACTCCAAGCTGTGACTTCATCTGTTCAGTGCTCATGAGGGACCCATCAAAGACACCTAAATTTAGCTGTTCTGTGGCTAAAATTTTCATGAATCTGAAAACTATTATTATCTTGGACTTTCCAGTTAGTCTCTCTTACAGAATCAGTCTTGAAATACCAGATTCTTCCTCCGTTACAAAAAAGAACCATAAGAAAAAGAAAAATGCACACTAACTCCTCCAGGATGGGGTAGTAAGTTCCTTTCCCAGCTGCTAGGGCTGGATGGGGCGAGGAAGGATTGCAGACTGACTTGGAAACCAAACCACAGCCCTGCTGCTTGGAGCCAGAAAGGGCACTCTGAGGGGGAGGCAGCTCCATGGGCAGAGGGCAGGGGTAATCCCCTCTTGGAACCCAGGACACCCCTCTGGCTGCCCTGGATGACACGAGCCCCTGGCAGGGGGCTGGGGAGTTCTGGCAAGAAGCCAGAGAGACTTGGGATTTTAATCCTGACCCATGGAGCAAATTACCAACCTTGTATGAAGAATCACAAGTCACAGAAGTTTAAGTAGAGTGATAATGAATCAATAACTGGGTGAAAAGTGGAATTTTGGGGATTTTTACTATAGGGGTCTAGGAGGCAAGATGGAGGGACTTGGACGTTGTCCTATTCTTCTTCCTTCTTCTTCCTAGCCTCCATCTTGGTGATGTTGGCACATTTGGATTGGTTTAGAATAGAAGTAGACAGCCTAACATAGGTGATAGGTATTGGAAAATAATGATAAATAAAGTACATGTAATTCATGGTATAAAATGTAGACACCAGCCCAAGGCCGGGCAGTGTGCCCTTGACAGACCTGCTGAACGGACCCCTGCAGGTCTGAGAGAAAATATTTTAGATAAGAGACAATAAACCACCTTGTGAACCAGAGCCAAAGAATCCCGACTCTTTCTTCGACCACCGGGCTGGGAAAAAGGGACTCTCAGGGTCATCCTGAATGCAGGAAACCCGAGAATCCCCCCATTGCTGCTCTTCCCACAGATCTTCCCCGACGTGGAGGGCTGGCCCTTCCCGCGGTACCTGGGCTCCTGCGGGCGCCTGGTGGTCAGCGCCAGCACCCGGCCCCTGCGCGACTTCTTCGGCGCCGCGCCCGAGGTGGCCGCAGACCTGGCCCTGCAGCTCCTGGCCGTGCTGCGCTCCATGGCCACCAACGACCTCAACTACTTCTTCTACTTCACCCACGTGGACGCTGGCACCTTCGGCGTGTTCAGCAACGGGCATCTGTTCATCCGGGATGCCAGCACGCTGGGCATCATCGACAAGGAGGAAGGTACTCAGCGGGCTCCGTGGCCACGCATCTGTCGCGGAGGGCTTGGGAGGCAGGGCACACAAATCTTTCCCCTTCTGCCCTTGGCTCTACTGCTGCCTTTTTTCTTTTTTTGTTTTTTGTTTTGTTTTGTTTTGTTTTTTGGGGGTTTTTGAATTTTTGGTTTGGTGGGGGTTTTTTTGTTTTTTTAGGGGTTTTTTTTGTTTGTTTTTGTTTTTTTTGGGGGGGGTTTTTGTTTTTGTTTTTGTTTGATTTTTTTATTAAATTAACCAAACACCCCTTACTGAATTAAATGATGAGATGTTCACAGAGACACTCACCCCCAGCAGCTCCTGCCATCCTGGCTCTGAGTCGGGAAGGCGATGGGTGTTGTGTTTGTGCTGTCGGTGATTTGGTGGCCACTCTGTAGCTGACAGCAGCTTTCAGTGTGCACAGTGTGCTGAATGCTCTAACTTGAAGCCATCCTTTTCAAACTTTTGCCACGCAAATGTCAATATTTGCCAGCAGAAATGTTGTCATTTCGTTTGTTCTAAGAAGTGAGTCAAACTGGACCCTTTTAACTTGCATTTATCACACTGACTAATAAGGGTTATTATTATTTATAACAATAATAACAAAATCTCCCTTTTTGTCAATTTTACATAAAATCGAGGATTAGTATTCAATTTTCACAGGTTACATTGGTCTACTCCTGCAAGTAGAGCTAGTCAAAGACTATTCATCCAGTAATTTAACAGTTTCATTTTGAATATTCAGATTTTGAAAAGGTTTTTCCTCTGCTCACACATTCAGCTGAGTATTCAGAATATTCAGAAGCAGCTGTCAGAAAATTTTCCACTGGATTTCCTTTTCTTATCCCAGCAGCTATGACTGTTAACTTGACTTCAGCTAGATGAGCTGTTGTTGCAATGTAATGATTTTGGTTAACATGGAAAAAATTACAGGTCTGGCTAGTTTTTTGTAGGAGCTCCACATTTTAGATTTGTACTCCAATTCTCATTTTTTCTGCATCAGCTTGACTTGACAGACTCATCTCCAGTTCCTCTGACAGGCAGTTCTGAAGAGCTCTGTCATTCAGAAAAATATACATATTTCAAAAGCTAGAAAATTGGCACATAGTCAGCTTCAGCACTGAGCAATTTGTAGTGAAAGGTGGTCACATCCTTTAGACAGTAACAAACCCCATGTTAACACAGAGGCACAGATATCTCTGACTGTCCAGGAGCTCACTATTATGTTTCCAACAAGCGGTTTAATTGTCCCCAACAGGGAGCCAGCTGATCGATGGCCAGCAGGAGTATAAAGATATCTTCAGCTGCCTGACTGTGGACTGCCAGGCTGCCTTTGTGTCCTGTGACTCCATCAGGGAGAAGCACAGCCTCGTCATGGTGTGTCAAGACCTCCTGCCGAAGCTGCTGATGGGGAAGTTCCTGCCCCCCGTGCAGGAGAGGATCCACGCCTTCCTGGAGCACTGCGCCCGCGGCCTCGGCGACGACCGCGGTGCCAGCGAGGCCATGGAGGAGCTGGCAGAGATCCTGAAACCTCTGCGCTCCTGCGACTCCCGCTTCGCCTACCGCTACCCTGACTGCAGATACAGTGACAAATACTGACACTGGAGCTGCCCCTGCTGGCACTGGGGCAGTGTCAGCCCCGTCCCAGCGCGGGAAGTGAGAAGGAACCAGGGTGGCTGGAAAGAGCTGCCCCAAATCTGGGGCGTTCTCGGTGTAAGAGAGAGCAGAGTGCACGTGGGATTTATTGTTCGCCTCCCAGAGATGCATTTGTTACATGGGATATAGACAGATGTATGGTTTAGACATGGTTTCTGGATTATTAACATTGTCATGACTGACAGGGGGCCACAGGATTAATAAATCTCATTCACGTGTTTTGGCCTTGGAAGAGTTTCCCATGCCATTTGTTGAAAAGCAAGGCAGGATGCTCACAACCAGCTAGACAGTGGATCTTTATTGCCAAGAAACTCTTTCTGATGGAGATGATATATAAATAATATGGGATGGATGGATGGATGGATGGATGGATGGATGGATGGATGGATGGATGGATGGATGCATTTAAGAGTTTCCCTGTGGCTATTTTTAATGTGCTAAGAATCATAGATAAACTGAACGACCAGATCAGTTCTGTACCATCACCCATCACATCTTGCTTTTATAAAATATTTTGACTTTATTACTTTGACGGAACACAGAACAGAAAGACACAATCAAAAGCATTAAAAAGCTAAAGGTTCCATGTCTCTTGAGATTTAATTTCTCTAATCCCCAAATATAATTTCTTCTAGTCTTTCCCAAGTCAATGGACAGTAATCAGAGACTAATACAGGACTTTGGTTTAAGATGAGAAAAGAAACCCCAGCTCTGGGATGGGATTGTTCAGCAGATATGTTCACATTATTCTCTCTGAAGTGGAGGAACCATTTGCACAAAACCATTCAATGGGAAAATTACCTAAAGAGGAGAAGGAATGCAGGCAGAGGATGAGACATTAATTTACACTGAGCCTGACAAGACTTACTAAACGCTCAATACTCCAGTGTAGGTGCTGCTACAATGTAGGTGCTCCCCAGCTGGGGAGATCTAAATTCTGACCAGCAAGAGCTACAGCAATCTTCATCCATTTGCCTTCCAGAGGAGGAATTGGTAAGACAGTACCCAAAGAAATTAGTCAGGCACTTAAAATTTGGGGTGGTTCTGGAAATATTTCACAGCAGTTGTCAAACCAGGGCTAGATCCAGGTGCCTCATTTTGCACGAGATGGTTGCAAAAGTGGCAAAACACAACTATTCTCACCCAGAATCTGCCAGTCCCCCTCATGTGAGCTCCCTGTGAGGGGTCAGAAGCCCACACCAAACCTTCCCTGATGTGTAGGGGTCAGACAGACCTCACCTGGTTTGGGGCTTTCTCCTGGGATCTGGGCTCACAGGAGTCACTGAGAAAATTTGACTGGGCTAAGTGAGAAACGAGGCTTTCTGGATCATCCACAAGAATTTTCATCATGGAAAGAGTCTTCTTCTAGCTATGGTTTAAAAAAAAATTGTTAAAAATGTAAAGGCAGAAAAAGACGTGAGTGCATTTGCAGTGCCAGTGGTTGTTCTGACTTGTGCTGTACAGAGAAGGAATGCAAATCCAGATTTTGTGTTGGCTGTGAGGGGCTGTGTGCACACAGAACATCCAACCTGGGATTCCAGGCAGGTGTGGGTGAAGGCTGATGGAACAGGTTGGGCATCCAAAACCACACACAAAGGTCTGACATGGGGAAATATGACTCAGGACAATTATTTTGCCTTTCTTCCCGGCATAAATTATCAAGTGCACCTTTTACCTCTCAAGATGTAGAAACACTGAAAATAATTTGTAGGTAAGTTTAGCTGCAGGCCCAGATGGTCAGACAGCAAAGAGGTTTAAATATACAGCCTCAGCTACGGCTGCAGCCCTCTTTCCTGCTTTCAGTCTATTTCTACATCATGGCTCTCTTCCAGAAAGAAAAACATGTCCTTCACTGAGATGCATGAGGCTGTCTAACAACCTGCTTCCATCAGTTTTTCTTGAATCTGTCTGCATCTCCAATCTCTTGGGGAGTGGGGTTACCTGAGAGCTGGGAGTTTGCTCTGGGCCCCTTTTCCTGCAGAGATCATCCCACACTGTGCTGAAAACACGGAGGAAACACAGAGAGGATGTGTGTGTTCAACAGAGAATGCCAGGAGCAAGCCCAGGTCCCTCAGGAATAGCCCAGCATTGGGCAGAAGGACAGAGAGGTGTCCCACAGGCCCTGGTAACTCACAGCCCTAAGGAGCTGGGGGTCAGAAACAGAAGAGTTTTGCTTTGCTGCTTGGACTCATTTTGCAAGGCTGCAGCAGAAGCCTTGAGACACGTAGCATCTATTTTTACAGGGCTTGATTCAAAGTTGTTAAAGCTGAGAGGAGTCTCCCCACTTCTTTTAATAGACTTTGATATGAATTTAAATAAAAGAAACCCTCATGATTAAAAATAACGTAATTGTGGATTTACAAATTATTAAATCATTGGGAGCTGTGTTCTCCACCAGTTTCTTTGCAGACATTGACTACAAAGGCCAGGCTCATGTAAGACTGTGACTAATAAGCCAGCCATAAAATCAGTCCATGGCTCAGAGAACAATAATTTTCCTAAACTAAATCTCATTTCCCTATATTTCCCTGGCCTCATTTTTTTTTTTTTTCCTTTTTCTTTTCAGAATTGCCAATTTTTACTCTTAATATTTTCCTTTTTCTTGGCAGTCAAACTCTGGAATCAGTGCCCACCCTGTCTGCCAGCTTCAGTCAAGCCTTCAAATCCTAGTAGGCCAAGCTCCAAAAGGATGTGAAATTAACTTATAAATGGCAATTATTTAAAACCTAATCCTTCCCAAAAGAACTCTCAAGCAATTTTTTCCTCTCTGTGTTCGAGTTATTTCTGTCAGTGGCTTTGTTTGAGCCTCTGCAAACTGTTCCTGGTAACAACTTCAGCTGTTTCCACAGCAGAACAAGAATGGCAGGAGACATCTTCCACCAATCTCCCAGGCAGCCTCAGCACTTCCTTTTTCTGTGGCTAGTTTGCAGCTGCCTTTATGCCCAGCTGCTCATCAGGTGTCTCTCTTAGTGCCCTATGTCCCACATATTTTCAGAGTTTTCATGTCAAGAGGTCTGTAAAACTGTGGTTTTGGCCTTATTTTGACTTGCAATGTATTTTGACACTGTCATTTCTCAGGGGGTTGAGGCTGCTACACATCCTGGGGTTGGAGATTCAGATTTTCCCACTCCATTGCTTTTGTGGGTGATAATTTCTTGCCACACTTTGCACACTTTGCACACACACACACACACACCCCCTTCATCCCCTTCCCTGCCAGCTCCCAGCTCCCTACAGAGGGCTACCTATAGGGAATATTAGGAATATTGTGGCATTTTGGGGAGCCTGGAACCACCACTCGACAGCTCCAGTGCACAGGAGCAGCCACTCAAGCACATTTTGTGCATCTTTCCAGCAAGCTCGGCCAACATCAGTTGTTTGCAGGTGCTTTTTATTTCCTTTCTGGTTTGCTGAGACTTTAGGATGCACTTGGGTCCCATTTGCCAATTACTCTCTACAGCCAGGTGCTCTAGATGCTTTATTGCTAATTCTTCTTCAGCTTCTCCCATCATCCCATGAATCTGGAAAGTAAAAATTATTTTAACAAAAAATATTGAGTGTCATGAGATGTTATGAAATCACAAGAACCAGCTCTGTTGTGTTCTGAATTGGCTCACCAAGACACATAAATTTGATTAATAGGTGAATCTGTCTGCTACTGTACCCTCTGTTCCCCTAATTCAGCGCTGGAAGGAGCTTGGTAAACATCCTGAAACTACAAAAACACAAACAGGAATTTCAGGGGAAGGAAAAATGAAATGAAACAGCTACTCCAGGCTGGGGGGCTGGGAGAGGCATGCACTGTTTCTGCCTTAGAGATTACAGAATATGGGCAGACTCATCTGCTCTCCTCCACAGGAGGATGGTCTCAGCCACAGCAGGGGCAGTGGGGTTTTAGGGTGACCTGCACAACTGATAAGAGACCCCAAGGAAGGATGAGGATGATCCAAAAGTCCAGAAAAAATGAAAAGGAAAGAAAAGATAGGTGGAAAACTAGGGAGGGACACCTGATAAAGATCTTCAAACAGTATTTATTGTTACAGTCATAGCTTTACTTGCATCATTCTACCTTTCTGCTCTTCCACAAAGCCCCACAATATCTATTCCTTGCAACACACAGTATAAATGACAATAGTTAGTCTAGAACAAACTTTTCAGGTGTTTGAAGAGCAAGAATACAGCAGCCTGTTCCCTGGGGACATGCAGGTTTGAAAGAAGCAGCTTGTCAGGTTGTACAGTGCTCTAGTACTACTCAGCAAGGATGCTCAGAGCTCCAGCCCTGCCTTACACAGTTCATTTGCTGCATTGCATGCAAAGATAGCTCTTTAGGCTTAACACCCACAGAAATGTCATGCAAGGCTCAGCATATTATGTGTTTGAAAAGGACCTTGTCAGTCACACGGGAGGTTTTTTTTCCCCTTTCAAAATTTAAACATTCATTTGGATAAGGGCTTGTCAGATTCATTCCTCTGGTGATGCCTGAAAATAGTGGGTTTTCTTGCTTTGAAAAAAATTATCAAGACACTTGGAATAATTCAGGGACTTTTCTCAGGGACTGAAACTTCCCTCTGTTCACATTCTTGGTGCAGAAAAAGTAAGAGAGAAAATCACCTCTGGGTGTTCACTCTGCTCTGGCTGGAACAGCTGTAAACATTTACTCTTTTTTTTTTTTCCCCCAACACCTGAAGATGAAGATGGAGAAGATGAAGATGGAGAAAATAAAGTGCCTTTCTGTGTTTGCACTATTTCTACAGAGCAGAACAAAGCAGGGATTTGTGCACAGTTCAGGCACTGCAAAGGACAGGAGGAGAAGGGTGCTGGAACAGTGATGAGCTGGGGGCAAGAGCTGGGATTAAACACCTCTGCACCCAGTCAGGGCACTTGTCACCATTTCAGACACCCCTGAAAGGAGTCACTGCATCACTGCTGGTGTTTCAAAGTGGAAATCCCTTCAGCAGGTGGAGAAGGGATGGGAACAGTTGTCCAGATTTCAGGAAATGAGTGTGTTATCCCTTCCCGTTTCCACTCACAGCACTGCTTGTTCTGCCTGTCCCTTTCCACCAGGCAGAGGCCCCCATGGGCTGCCTTTGTTCCACGAGGGATGCACAGGATCAAACCTCCCAGGTGTCAGAGGACAGGAGCAGCTGCCTGAGGAGCAGGGCCAGACGTGATGGGGGCTTTCCATCAAATGGCTGCATTGACTGGGGACAAATATTGACAGGAGTTTGTGTCTACAAGGCGTGAGAGAAAAACACCAAACCTGCAGGAAATTGTCTTGTTGCACTCTGTGAGTAAAATGGCCAGAAAAACAAAAACAAAACAAAACAAAACAAAACAAAACAAAAAAACCAGCTGCTGAGTTGTTCTGTCAAAGTGCTAAGGGAAAGGCTCTCCAAAGTCAAGCAGTTTGACTTTTATTCCAGCAGGAGTTCTGGGGTTACCAACCCCAGGGAAGGGCTGGCTGAACTTTGTGGTCACACGTCCCTAGGCTGGAGCCAAGCAGAGCTGTCTAAAAATACAGCTTTTGCATGACTGCAGGATGGCATGTGCAGCAAGATAAAATTACTGGGGAAGGAGGGCAGG